AGTTGGGTACCCCAGGGGACCATGTAGATGGACCTCTGGGGCCCGCAGGTGGCTCTGATGTACCCATAAGTATCCCCAAGATATCTTAGAGGTGGCCACCAGGGACCCTAATTTACCCCTGAGAGCACGTAAAATCCCAGAGGTGATGTTTCTGTGTCCCCAGGGAGAGAAATCCTTTTTCCTGCAGCCGGGTGAGCAGCTCCAGGCTGGCATCGAGGACGTCTATGTGCTCTCTGAGGATGAGGGGCTGCTTCTTCAGGCTCTGCAGACAATCAAGGACACTGACGAGGTGACACTGAAGCTCATATCATCACTTGGTGGAGGCTGGGGGTCATGGAGTGAATGGGGACAGAGGGAACAGCTGGGGGAGCTGAGGGGAGGAGGAAGCAAAGGAGGCTCGTGGGAACACTGGAATTGGTGAGGTGCATTGGGGGCAGGTGGGGACAGGTGAGGTTCATGGAGGACACCTGGAGTACATGAGAACAGATGAGGTGCATAGGGGACACCTGGGAGATTCAGGAGGTCCCACATCCCCAGCTAGGGATTGGGCAGGGGTCCCCATGTCCCCAGGCTTGGTGCTGATGCCACCGCTGCATCCTCAGGATGGGACGGAAGTGGTACGGCGTGCAGGGGACCGCTGGTTGGCCCGGGGTCCTCTCGAGTACGTGCCACCAGCTGAGGTGACTGTGCTGGAGCGACGCCGTGCGCTGGCCCTGGCTGAGAACGAGGGCATCTATGTGCGGGACATCCGCACCGGCAAGGTGAGAGTCCTGTTCCCGCAGACCGGTTGGGTGCACAGTGCCCCTAAACCCACCCCAGTGCCCTTCACACTGCTTTTCAGTGTCTCTAGAAACCTTCCACAGCTCATCCCAGTGCTTCCAGTATCCCATATAGCTGCTTCCAGTACCTACAGAGCCCATCTAAGATCTCCAAGGGCCCCCCACATCCCTTTGGATACCCCTCCAAGGGCTCCCAGTAACTCCTTTCCTCTCTCAGTCCCTCAACAGTCCCTTCCCAGTGCCCC